CCCCAAAACCCCAAAACCCCAAAACCCCTCTATGATTTGCACAAGTTGAATCTTTTTAAGGTCTTCAAAAAAGGCGATTTTGGTGCTTGATCTAATTTTTCCGAACTTGGTGCTCTCACAAAGCCAGCAAAACAAATGAAATTTATAGACCCTGCACCTGTAACATGAAACTAAGAATTTCCATAAGGATTGAAGACCGTGAAAAGTATCTTATGCATTTGGACAAAAATATTTTTCCAAGCCCAAAATCATTTATCCTTTCATTTTGAAATAAATTTGGGATTCCTGAGAAGTCCACCTACTTGCTACTAATAGAGCCATGAACGATAGTTGTATCTCTTGACCAGATTTCCAATAATGACAGGTGAAGACTTACAGAAAAACAGAATGTGCAAGATATTGTCAAAGAAGAGCTCCTACTACGTCAAAAAGCCATGGATGAGCGTGGTAGATTGATCTCCTCAGGTCAATGGCTCGAGCTCAAGAATCAGAATACTAATCGATACAAAACAGCTCAGGAACTTCTCAAAAAATCTTATGAAATCTCAAGATATCAACGAGATACAGAAGTTGAAGACCCAATGCCCTTAGTTAAACAAGAGCATGAACTTCTCGAAGATTATTCTGTAGGAGCAGAGATGCGTAGAAATTTTAAAATGCGCTGTATCATCCCAAGAATCGCTAAGCTTAGGGAGCCTGATGGGCATGAAATGAAGCTTACAAGAGGACTTCAAATAAAAACACCTAATTTTGAAATCTTCTCAAAAGCTATATTGCATGTAAGCACAAGAAAGCAATTAGCTCAAACTGTGAAACTCCTTGCAATGCTTAATGGATTCAGACTGATAGTTCCATGAGGAAATCGTAGGGAGAGAAGAAGCACTTTTAGGTGCTGGAGAAGCCGTCCTCCAAAGCACCCAGGCCACAAGAACAGAATAATGTGACCCTTCGGGATGATATTTGCCCAAGTATCCGGTAAACCCAACTACCATCTTGCTAGGTACAGAAGTGTCCACAACCACCCTCTGGATGAAGTTGGAATGTTTGCTGGAGAGAAATACCAAAAAGAAATTGATTATATCATAAATCAAGTTAAAACTTATGACGGAAGTTTCCAAGCTCTGTGACACAAAACTGAGAAAGCTTCCCGTGAGGACAAAGGTTTTATTCCAAGCGAGTACGACCTTCACCGAGAATACTTCGCCCTAATATTAAATCATCAATGAACAGCAAAATTGTGCAATGAGATGAACTAATCAAATCTAGCGTTGGATGAAGAATCGAATCAGGAGACATAATAAATTATGAAAATGATGGAAAGCAATCAAACATCCATATCAATGGTGTCTTACTTGATAGCAGAGAATACGATGAGAGAAGCCTTGATGACCTTAAACCAAGAAGATTGATCCTTGAGCACGCTAAAGTATTTGAAAAAGAATTACTTGAAGAATATTATCCTCAATTTCATCAAGAAGAATATGTCAATCTTGAAGATAAAAAGTATAAGTTTAAGAGTGAATCAGATGTATTTTCATTAACTTTACTAGATGAACTCCCTCGCACAGAGCCAGTACTAGAAGAATTAATTCCATCATTTAATACGCTAGACAGGGTATCTGAAAAAGTGTCTCCATATCGTATCTATGAGGTACCTGAAGAGTGGGATGATTCTCTTTATGATCCTCTGGAAGTAGCTCAATGATGAATGCCTGACTACATAATGAACAACCCTTGCTTAATAGATGACAGAGACAACGATAGTTCTCAAACCAGTGAGATAGAAATAAAAATAGAGAACGGTAAGATTAATAGAGTTCCTTCTACTCCTTCTACATCCTCCAAAAAATCTCAAGGTTCAGAAGACAGCTCTTCCGAATCTGACAGTGAAGAAGAGGATTGGAAGGGCCTTTCATCAGAAAGCCACAACCTGGATTATAAGCCTGATCCTTCTGAAGAAGACTCCTATAGGATCTTCAAAGCAGTAGACATTCATACAGAAGTCATGCAAGAGATCCTGGATGATGTTAGTGGAGTAGAATCTAACCCTGAAGAATTTCAGAAGAAGATCTTTGATCCTAGGAAATTACGTAAAATTGAAAACAAAGAATGAGGCCAGAAAAGACCTTACAAAGCAGAAAGTTTTGATCAGGGTCTTAAACTTGAGAATAGGACCTCTTCTCCAGTTAAAGAGGAACCAAGAGAGAAAAAAAGTGTTAAGTGGGCAGAACAAATAGAAGATATCCTCACAGATGCCTCTTCAAATATGAATCGAGCACATGTACCTCTAAAATCTTGATTGAAAGTTGAAAGAAATCTTCAACCTGTAGTACTCAAATTCAAGGACGAGATGTCAGATGTAGAAGAGCCTTAATCCTATAATAAGGTTGACAGCAAGAGAAAGTGTTATGTGTTGGTATGAACTGAATGCTTATAGTATATTTAATTTTTGTACCTATTCCTAGATTGCTCGATCAACAATAACCTTATCTGAGATGCTCTTATTTATATTTTACTCAAACTGAGTAAAATAAATTTTGAAATTGCCATATTATTGTCACTCTATAGCGAATTAAAGTACCCTCTTGTTTGATCGGAAGGGTAGATTTTAACATGACTCTACCTCGTACTTAGGATTCACAATTGTATAACCTGACTGCTATTTTAATTTTATGAGTAAGAATAAGATAATATTTCTATAATAGGCTTCATAGAAGGGGTTTTGGGGTTTTGGGGTTTTGGGG